CTCTATACCCTTCCCTGCCTTTGAAGTTAAAGCAGTACCAGATTTCATCCGTCTCTAGAAAACTCTTAGTCTCTTTGACTGGTCAGTAATTGGGCACCAATATAAATACATACAGTACATACATATTTTTAGCTGCGACTAGCAGCTCTATAGCTCACTCTGTCGGTCGGTCAGTCAACAAAAACTTCCCCACCCTGTGGTGGCCACAGTTTTCGCCGTAGGAGGCTGTAATTTGGCATGGAGGTCAAGCGTGTAGGTGTGAAGGTGTGTGTTTGTGTTCATTCTAATTAGCAAAAAGGGGGTGTGGCAGTGAGAGTGGCCTAAAACAAAAAGGCGCCCTAACTTCTAAATGGACACGTACCATGGCCCAATTTGTGAACCGTCTGTCGTAGACTCTTGTAGGAGGCATCATTGCACTGAACAGAGTTTGTTTTTCATAAGTGTGTGAATGCATGCATATGCGTACATGGTCACAGTTGTTGCGAATTTGCGTTTGTTTCATTACTTCTTGCTGGACCTTCATGTGCTAATGCCAGTCCAAGGAGCCACAAGTTGTTTTTATCCTCGTCATGCAAATTTTCAATATGTTCAATCCTTTCTTTTCTTTGTTTCCCTTCATCTAAAGCAGCTGACAACATGTCCGTGTTCACTGAAAGTGTTCAGAGGGAATACTGCTTGTGGGTTAAAGTGTAGTGTGCAGTCATTGTTCTGCGGAGAGAAAGTGTGAGATCAGTAAAGGACTGAAGAGTAACTCTATACCGGTCCAGGATACCAGGTAGGAAGTCAGAATTCTTTCACTGAACCCATACAGCGCCTTTAGTACGGGGAGCAGGAACTCTTTGAAGGAAACTATAAAATATTAAGGGGAAGCGGATACCTCACTTGGCTTAATGCAGAGATGAGTCAGGCCACACATTGGCTCATAAGATAAATCCTCTTATTCTCTTCTTTTCTCTCTCTCTCTCTCTCTCTCCGTCTCTCTCTCTCTCTGTCTCTGTCTCTCTCTCTCTCGCTCAATCTGTGCGCTAAGAAAAGGGCCATGGAGCTTTCCTCTACAAATGCTTCGAGTGTGTCTGTTGGCAGTCATCCCACAGGCAGGGGGTCAAGTTCCTCAGTCTCTCCACCCTACAAACGCCAGCTCCTCTAGTTATGTTAGAGTACCCAAACTAGGCTTTGTTCTGTTGCAGTACAGCTGATATAGAATGAAGTCATTTTTACCTTTCAGTATCAAGTAATTTGAATGATTTTCAACCTTCTCTGCTTTAATATATGCAAGGGAAACTTTGAATTATTCAAAAGATTATACTAATGCTCCACATTTATGTAATAAAAGTACTTACAGCTGAAACAATCCTGAATCAATTATTCAATCAACAGAATATTAATCTGTACATTTTGTTCAGTCTCTCAATCGTCAAAATAAGCAATATGAAGACGTGACGTTGCCGTGGGCTCTGGATAACGGATTGGCATATTTCACAGTTTACTTTACTAGATCAATGATTAATCTAAAAATAAGGCGAAAGATTAATTTATCATGAAAGTATCTCATTTGCAGAAATGGACTGAGTTCACTTTCGCTACAAAAAGAGAGACAGAGAGACAGAGAGAGAGAAAGAGAGAGCGCTATACCGAATACATCAATCAAATCGCTGCCACTAAACTCTGACTGCTTTTAACCCTACAGCTATCTACCCCTCCATTTCCACCCATCCATCTCCCTCCTCTCTCTTGCAGGACTGCTCAAAGTTACTGGTACACAGTATGCCAAGCCAGATGGTCAGCCACACGGTCGAAGCATGTACCGCTCGGCTTCAACACCCCTCCAACAAACCCTCCTCCCAACTCCAGATGGCATGCCGTGCCTGGTTCTAGTGCCACGGGGGGACTGCGACTGTATCGGTGTGACTCAAGTCCCTTGGGGCATGGTCCGTCTGCATGTGTGTGCGCACGTGTGTTTGGGTATGCGTGCATGCCTCTGTGAGCGTATGTGCTTGTCCCTTAAAAGTGCTCTTGTTTGGTTGTGTGTTTTAGAGTCCCAAAACTCAAATGCCCGTGTCTCGTGGGCTTCTGTTGGCTGCATTGGTTCAATTTGGAGTTCCTTCACTCATAATCCTCCCCACTGAGCCTCACCGTTTAAGTAAGTGATTTGAAAGGGAAAATACAGCCTGTAAAAACTTCACTGCTGGAGGTATACGGTACACAATATAAAGAAAATGTTCCTTTACTCTCTCACACTAGCCTGTCTAACGAAGAAATAAGCGCACTGGCAACCTTTGCAAATAGCACGGATGACTTAAGAGTTTTGTTTTCATTGTCATGGCTGTGGAACTGATAACTTAAAAGAATCGCCGTCTGTCGATTCATCATCACACCTAATCACCACAGTATGCTTTAAAGAACCAGTCTGTCGACAGCTACGGCTGTAGAGAGATATGGCAGAATTACTGACCAACCTCCCCTGGGACTACAGACCCTAAGGGGCCCCAAAGTCCCCATGCAGCTTCACTATGCATTAGTGGTGTATTGTGTTCATCCAGGCCGAACACTGAAGTCCAGTTTCCATCAGTCGTTTGTGCTGTTCCATCCGAGGCTCATAGTTAACTAGCGACGTATTTATACAAGCGTTCTGTTCGGGTTAGCTTTTACAACTCATCTTCATGTCGACAGCACTTTGCAGGCGCAGCTCTTTACACCACCACACCTGCTCCTTCTTTTGTGTTTAAGCTTGTTTTTCTACTGATCATGACTTTGCTATGATTTAAAGTTCGAATTCGTGGCTACCTGAATTTTCTATACTATTACTTGTGTGTAGTACACTTGAGGATTCTCATTTTTGCTCAAATTTGTTGAAATGTAACTGATTTACCATCTACAATAAATGGTCTGTTTATCATCATAGGTGTTTCTGTTGGGGGGATTTGGCTGGTGCATCTTTATTTTGCAAGATGCGCCATTTAACTAAAAATAAAAAAAACGATGTTGTGCCCTGTGGGGCCCTGCAATGTTATCAAATATTTGAGGCCCTGCTCTGCAAATGGACTCTTTCTTCAAAGTCTAGCGAGGAGGCCTCTACTTTTCTTCTTGAGGTTTATGTGGAAAATATGTCAAAATCATTCATATTTATTTAAAATACCACAAACTAATTCACAAAAGCTGATAATAGAGTATAGTTCAGCAGGCTACAGTTTGATTCTGGGGGCCTGGATAAAATATAATTTGTCTTGTCACCGTAGTGTGTAATTTGGCTCTGTGTGCAGCAACATTACGTTACATTACATGAAAAGGAAACGCACCAAACGTGCTGCACTGTTTGTGTTTATTGTTATAATAACAGGGACGTCTCTTTTCTGCCGTGTGTATTCTCTTGCTTCACCCTCCGAATGTCAAGGGGCTTTGAAAAGCAGTGAAAGGGGAAACCAGAGGAGGGACTTTGCGTCTGATCCGGGGAATATTTCTGCTGATCACCCTTCTAAATTAAAAAGCAGTTATGAATAATCCTCACTAGAGACTCTACTTAAATTAATGCCTCAATTAGATTTGGAACATTAAAGGTAGTAATGATTCCACTCCACTGTATTGTAATTTAAGGCCTGCTTGCTCTTCACCGGGAAAGCAGCTCTTTGCAGTGAATGTATTAGAGGAGATTAATGAGGGGAGGATATGGAGGTGGCTGGCAGTGAGAGCCAGGCCATTCTGCATCCTCTTTTCTCACTCACCCTTAATGGCGTGGAAAGAGGAGCTTTATCAATCATGCGGTCTTTGTCAATCAGAGTTTGCAGGATATTTTTGCCAAAAGTTTTGTTCATAACTCTTTAATGTAGCTGTCATCTGGGCAAGGGCACAATTCAGTCAGGACCATCACCTCTCTGCGCTCCTGTGAGTCACTCCATGGCTCCACCTGAGCGCTGGGGTGGGGTTGTAACGATCGCTGCGTGTAAGTGATCCATCCCTAATCGATCCTGACTGTCAGCATGGACTAGACATTCACCTCTGCCTGTTATCTCTATCTGTGAGGAAGCCTGCCTCAGTCAAAGCAGTGACCACAGCCTAACCTAGCTGGTCAGCTCCAATCACAACCTACTGTAGCAGAGATGAGTCACTTTTGACTTCCAGTCAGGTGCTTGAATATCGGAATGAAGTCAGGTTTAACTTAGGTGAAATTAACAGCGTAGGGGTGTTGGCTGGCTTATATTGTATTAATAGGTTAAATCTATGGTGACCTTATTTTTGGCGAAGCAGCGTGATAATTGGAAGTCCTGCACAACATTGGGGATTACCATGTTTATCCTCGCATAATCCCCATAAACATTAAGACACAACAAGCTACATGCTGATTAGCTTCAGGCAGGAGCAATCAATCAGCGAGAGATAAATAGCCCCCTGGCTTTCAATCCACATGAAAGAAGGGTAAGCAAACAGCTAATATATCGCTGCTCAGGACTCTCTGTGGCTTTGCCACCTCTGCAGGCACCATGTGAAATGTCTGAATACCTCCTCACTAGTAAATGTCTACGACAGAGCAAAATCACACTCGCAACAATACATCTTTGTACTATTGCATTTATCGGGAATATTTTGGATGAAGTCTGTAACTTTAAATTAAAGTGGATTTTTTTTTTTTGTGACTATTTCAAATAAATAGTCAATTCTTTCCATAACTCCTAGTTGACAATCAAATGTGGAAACATTTATCACATGCCCCAGGCCTGTGGGTAGGATGGGCCATTTTGCCATGTTGCATATTTGCCTATTCAGACGGGGAATGGGCAGAACCCCTCAAGCAGAACATATTCAGGGGGTGCGTTTTGAGGACTTCATGTTTGCAAATGATTTGCAGGTACACACATAAAACACTCTACCTGCTCTCGATAAAGAGACTTGTTGAAACTCGCACGGCTGCTCAGCGACTCTAACCAGATGCAGGATGGAGGAGAGAGGTTGTGTGGTGAGATGGAAGAAGGAAAGGGGGGGGGGGGCAGGCATACACTCTTTCCTTGTCCGTGCGACGCCATGATAAGGAGACACTAGAGCTTGTTTACATGCGGCAATGGGAAAACAAATTGAAAATTCCTGCCGGGACGCAGATGCATATCAAAACAGGATTATTTTAGAAATAATCGCCCATGCCACAAACTGTCACCAGCTAATCTCCACTTTGTTAGAATTCAAATTACTTTCCATGTTTACATTGCCATTACTGCAAAGGCAGGGACTAGGGACTCTATGGGGGCCTATTTGCACAAGAGTAGCAATAAAAACTAGATAAAATAAACTTTCCATAAATATTCCAGACCAGAGAGAATGCTCAGGTCCGGTTGGTGCAATAGGAATATTGAACAGGAGAAGCTTTTGGAATAATAGGGACTGAAAGACCCAGCTATAAAGTAGAGGCAGCTGACAGATTGAAACTGCGATGTTCTGTCAGACTGGGGATGAGAGAGACTGGCAAAAGGAAGAGCCAATCAGAAGTGGTCTAAAAAACTGCTGGAATAGCCACTGCTGACCTCCACTTGGCCAGGCCATGTCAGGCTCAGCAGGGTTGAGCCAAGCAAATCTGGACTTGGCTAAGAAGAATAGAAGTGCATTAAGTTTGAACTCTGTCGGAGGCAGAGGCGTCTCTTGTCTCTGGATCAGGTTGCCAGTGTTTATCACTTCTAGCTGTGCTGGCACTGAGGGGAGACACACTATCCCTTATCCAGGGCTGTCAGTCAGCGGACCGAGCTATCTCACACATATAGCAGCCTGGAGCATCAGCCTGCTTCAGAACTGGAGGGAGCCATGGAAAAACACACGAGGTTTATTGCCCCATATCCAACCGATCAATGGGGCTTGTCCTTAAGTGAGAACGGAAATGCAAACCTGTGCGAAACACTTCTCATGTATCAGAAACCCTGACATTCATTACGATGCTAATTCTGAACATGCAGGTAAAAAAATAAATGAATATTCAAACTTACAATTCATTTTGAAAAAGCCTACAAGGAGTCAAATTGTGCAAATGTGGTGAATGCTATAAATCTGATATAAAGAGACAAGCTTCTGTGCAGGCAGAGACAAGTAGTTGCTCCTCCTTAAGCAGCATTAGAGTTACAATCAGTCTGCAGGCTTCTCTAAAACTCCTTTCTCGCGGTCAGAGTCTCTGTGCTAGTCTATTTGTTGCTTTGCCGCGCTGTCATAGAGGTTGGCCTTATGGTTCCCAGAAGGATAGGGGATGTGTCTTGTGGTGAAAACCGCATTGTGTGACAGACACAGTGGAGACATGAGGAAGGCAGTTCTCATCTATGTTCACTGCAGCAGTGGTCACATCAAAAGACTATTAACTTGTTTTCCTTTTGTCCTCCAAAGGCTCCGGCATTCTTCTTCTAAAATTCTCGACAAATTCGCAAACAAATTCATTTACAAGTTATGCATTCACGATGTGCTTGGAAAATAAAAATGGTGTTGTTTTTGAGGCCGAAACATTGCGACGGGTGACCAAACAAATATTGATGGAGTTAGAGTGTTTGGTTCACAATGTGGGACTTTTCCTCTGAAGCAAAAGCATGCAGCCTAAGAGGAGACACCGTGGTGGTGACTAGAATCTACGGCTCTGCTGTGACTTTGCTCTTATGTTCCCAGCCCTTGCCTGAGGCGGCAAACGGCTTTGCTCACTATGGAAGAGAGGAGAGGGGGTGCAGTGTGGGATGGGAGGGGAGAGCAGACAGAGGTAGGTTAGATTAGGTTTGACAGGGTAATGCTTTGAAAAGGGGCCTGTTAGATGATTTATTCTCAAACACCACTCCATAATGGGCTGGTGCGTGTTTCTATTAAGGCTGATGGATACTGTGCTACGCTCACTTTCTTAGACACTCAGTGGTCTGCTGCGCTGTCTGTCGCTCCTTCACATCTTCAGTCTCGTCATCTTTTTTCAAATCTCAACCGCTCTCCCGTGTGCACTCCCACAGAGATGCACACATGCAAGTTCTCGCCACTCCTCTTCCTCCGCTTTAACATTACTCACTCATCAAAGATTCCCAACAGATATTTTGTCAGTTTATTCAACTTTGGATCTGTTGCAACAGCGTAACTTGGGAGACGGAGCTTTATCACGAGCTCACGCTTTCTGTCCTCAGATTCAGCGTGAGCCACAGTGCCTACCAGCCGTGTGAGACTGCTTGCTCTATCGGAGCCAAAAGAGGCCTGTCTTTTTAAATGTTTTACTTCGTCTCACCCTTCTGCTGCTGGGCTGCAGCGCCCTGTGTGGGAGGGTAGTGGTTTAGAGCACACCAGAAATGGAGGAGGATGGAGGACGCAGTCAAATAGAAAACATCTCAGAAAGGGTGAATGAAAGATGATAATTACACCGCAGATAGACTCCAGAAGCGATCGAAACCTTAAGCTGTTTGTTTAATCTAAATGGGAAGAGGACTACAATACAATGCATACAGACCCATACTGCACAACATCAATAATATATAGCCAAGTGAAACAAACATCAATTTGTCCTCTAATATCACTACTTTTTATTGTTCTGTTTTTATTTAGCATGCAAGCTACGTCCATTAAAAGCATTTACAAAGTGACTGTGTTACAGTTCATGTTCCTGCTGAGTGAATTTTTTTCATTCTTTTTACCTGTTTTCTTAACCGCCTCTGAGGCCATGAGTTCAGAGCATGACTTCCTGTGACTGGGGCGAAGCAGGCTGATAACAGTGGTTTCAGTTAAGTAGGGTCAAAGTTGACATAGGAACATTAGAGCAGTCAGTAAGAGGCACTGGTTGGACAAACCAAACAGGAAGCAGCGTTTCACTCTGTGAGGCTGACAGAGATATGGGTCTAGAGAGAGCTACGATGGGGTTGTGCTAAGATATGGATGCCTGCTCGAAGCCATGGCAGGAAGGAACAGAAATAGATACCATTATTTCCGCAATGCTGGGAAGGTGCTGCTCATATCAGACAATCACAGTACAGAATAAAACATACACAACTGTAAGAAAAGAAATTACACATTTGAAGGTACATTTTAGACTCGCATTGAGTAAGTTATCCTAATACCTGAAATACAAAGAGGATAGAAATACACTTCTGTGAAAGGTGATCACAGATTTCCTTTTCTCTGCAACCTGTGACAGATCAAGCCCACCAGCAGAGACTGCAGTTAATATTGACCATCTGCTGTTATCTGAGGATTAAAGAAACAGAGTAGTACTTTACTTTGGTTATAAAAGTGATTATTCTATATTTGAAGCCCACTGGTCTGTCTTCACTGTATCAATTGTTTATCTCCACTTCTGCTTTTAGTTACACACACTTGTGCATCCCCTGATCTGATGCACACACTTGGAAATTAACAAGATGTTTTATATTCATGTGTACGTAAGGTGGAGTAGTTTGTTCCAAAACAACTTGCAATGTTTAGCCTCAAAATATTACACTGCATCCGAATTCTCATGTGTCAACTTTTGTCTATGGGCTTGAAAACAGCACCTCCAAGGCAATTCAATACACCTTTTTTTTACAAGTAATACATTTTTAGAAATGTCAAACAATATAACTATAAATAAAACTCCTTTCCACAACACACACAAACGCACATGACAACAAAGGCGCCGCACCTACATACCTGGATGCATTAGTTGTTTTGTCTCTAACAGCAGAAAGCCTGGGTCACTATGTACTATTGCAATAAATCCAGATAATTTATTGTCAAGACAGTTTGCTGAAAACCAACATTCATTATGTAAGCTCGCTCAGCGGAACATGTCAGCGGGCATTTTAGATGTTCAGCAGCAGCAGTAGCTGCATTCCGGTGACTTTTCAGGTGGTGAGAAATGATACTGTATCTGTTGCAACAGAAACTTCACTACCTTCCTCTCTCTCTCGCTTTTCTCGGCCCCCCACGGATGTAGGTTTGAGCCTGCAGCTACGCACACACACACACAATCCAGCGCTCGCACACATCTGTGAACCTCAGTGTGGCCACCTTTACCACAGGTTTTCTTTGGAAAAGCAGGTAGGGGAGCTGTGGTTGCTCTTGTTAAGTGTAATATAGAGATGAGCAATAAGATGCTTTTGGGTTTTAGAGAGGAGATCTGATCATAATCGGTATAATTTAAATCTGCAAAAAGCTTGCTGCTAATTGAAACTCAACTTTGAGAATGTGTAACAATGCAAACTAAATATTACTGAACAATGACAACAGAGTGATTTATTTTTAAATGCACTTCAAGACGAACCATGCCGAGCAGAGAGCGTGAGAAGCGTGACAGAGACAGAGAACGCGGGGTTGTTTTGAAGAGCGGGGAGAAAAGAGGGTAAAGCGCGTATCTTAGTTGGCTCACACATCACTAGAAAACAAGGCTGGAGTGGTCACAACCCCCATACTGTGTTCCTGAGGGAGGCAGAGTGTGATGATGATGAAACAACTGATGATTCACACTTTACTGTCAGAGGTTGTAAAGGGAACACTCGCTCACATGCCTTGAAAAACAGCGTGCCATTGCACCACTGTGGATGCCATTGTCTCACACCTCCTCCACCTTGTCACTCAGCCAGTTGCATTTATTTACAACAACAGGGATACACAGCATTGTTGTATTTATATTAACATTGCTGCAGGTGGTCCCTAAAACAAAATGTCTTTCAGCACTGTTCCTATAGTTTCGTTAGCTTTAATATTAATTTAAATTGTGACTTTTGTACTTAGTTGTGTGTTTCTGTGCACCTGTGAGTGTGTGTATGCGTACCTCAGTGCCTTAGAGTTGCAGATGGTGAAGTCTCTATTCTCCATCAGTGGAATACATGCCCATGCAGACCTGTGTGTGTGTTCCCATTGTGTCTAAACCAGTCTGTGCTCCTTACGTTGTCCCTGTCTCCTCCTCAACCTGGTCCCATTAACTGCTTACCATGAGGAGGTTGGGACACTGAGGATTACTCTATAAAACACTGTTAAACTTCCTGCCAAGTGGGCCACCTCCAGTCACAACGAAAGCTTGGAAAACAAGGGCAAACACACACAGTAAAAAATCATGGCCATATTAAAACATTCCTCTGCCTAATGGTTTTTGTTAGCGATTAAATGGGCAGGGTTTACCAGCGGAGATGACAGACTTATTTAAAAGCAAATTTAGAACCTGCACTAACTGAAAAACGACCCATCTGGTAGATCAAGCAGGGTAAATATTTCCAAATTATGACTATGGTACGTTTAAGCAAAACGTCTAACATTTTTGTGACCTTTGCCTTGCTCTGTGAGCAGTGGCCTGAGGGAAGGATAATGTGTGTCTTTCAGGCCCAGTAGTATCTGTCTAAACACTGATATAGCTGTCCCAGAGCTTCCTCCTGTCGTCCAAAGACCTGGCTGTTAAAACAAACACTGACCCATCCATCTGTCAGCGACATGCCACAGGTATTTGAAAAGAAGGAACTAATCTTTTCTCCCAGTGTGTTCATGCGTGCGTTTGTGTCTGCATATGACCACTGGCTTGTATAACATTGTAGTTGCCTATTCATTTGACTTTGTACAGGTACAGTTTGTATTTTGTCCGCAAGAGGGAAGTTTGTGGTCGTACATGTATATGGCTGTAAATTAATGAATGCAATGATGGAAGGTTTAGTTGGTTATAGAAGTAACCCACTTTCACTCTTGCTACTGTGAATGAGAAGACGCTTCCTAGATAAGAATGAACTCTGACCAAACAGGCATCCTGTCCCTGTCCCTCATGCTTTTCTAACCCTAACACAGGGAGCAGCTGAGGGCCTGAAAGCCTGTGTCTTTATGGTTCCCCCTGGGCTCATAAAGCTGCCAGGCCCAGGATGCAGTGTACTCTCACTCCACCAACCATGTCACAACCAGCTCCCTCCACATCAGCGCAGTCTGCTCATGTCAAGCGAGGAGCTGAATGTTTGATGGTTGTCTCTTGCATGCCGCTGGGTGTTAAGATAACAAAAGCAGGTAGTCTCTCACCCCCTCACTCTGCAGCAGCCTTCTAGGAAGCCATTCACTATCAGTCATCTATGCGACAGAGAGTGAGGAGCGGAAAGGGTAAGGAGGCAGAGTAAACAGGATCATAAAAAGTATTAAAAGTAGGTAGACAGCAAACGGTAATGTCCTTCTTAAATGTCTTTCAGTTTCTTATATGCACACCTTCTACTTGCAATTGCTCCTGTTTCCTTTTGCTCTGTCTTAGTGACCTGACACTTGATTATTTGTGTTTTAACTTTCTCTAGGGGGAAACAGGAGAAGCTTTGGCCTTCTTAGGGAACTATCTCGGTTAGAAAGGAGTGTGTTGGCTATGCAAAGCACTCAAAAAACCCTCATAAACTCCTCCTCAGATGAAGTGCTGAATGCTAGAACACCACAAGAGTAGAGCCAAAAGCCCAGAACAGGATGGACCAGGTTAAGTTTCAAGCGCAACTGGGGACGGGCCTATACGCTTCCATCTCACACACACACACACGCACACACACACACACACACACACACACACACACATTTGCAGTCATGAATTGCACACAAGCCTTGAGGCCACAAATCAAATACTTGGGTTTGGTTTTAATGAGTGTACCAGGTTCAAGCTTGCTTAAGCTGGAATGCTGTTGACTGACCAACTGAGTTGGTCAGTCGAGTTGCTGGTTTCTAATTAGCAAGAAGGCGGAAATGATCCTACACAGGTGCTGTGTGTCACCTGACTCTTGCCAAGTTATCAAATATATGCATTCAACATTCTGTGTCCAAGGCACTTGTAGAAAAGTTGTATCATTTTCAAAGTGATTCTAGAGTTATTTTATTGATTAAAGTTGAGTAAAATTAACCAACATAGTTCACTTGCTTGTATTTATCTTGGTATCTGTGACTCACTAAGAGAAAGAAAGAGACCGCTTAACACACAAAAGTCAAAGGGTCATGTGACGGTCAGTGATTTGTATTTTTATATTATCTAGAGTGTGAATCACATTAGAGTGCGTGTAAATAAACAAGGCACAGATTAGTCACATGGGGATTGTGTGTGCACTGAAAACACGGTTTAGGACACTGTATTAGCCTGTTGGATAAGCTTGCACCTTCATAACTACATCATATATATATCATCTCATCTTCGTAAGCAACACATAACCACACACCACAGTGAGAAAAAAAAGGTTGTTGAAAGGGATTCTGTGTATCAGTGTAAGAAACATGAAGGAAGTCAAGCTGTTAAAAGTAAAGCAGATGAAGAGAGAGAAAGAGTTCAATTCAGGGAAACTTGTATTCTGAGCTTGCACTTGGCAGCCTGTGTGATCAATAGAAATAGCACCAAATGGGCTGAATATAAAATTGTCGAGAGCTGTAAATGATCCCCAGTACAAAACTGGAACTTAAAAGAGCACAAACTCATATCCACAAGCACAGAGATGCAGCCAATCACATATGTCCAGTACGTGCATGTACCCAGTATGTACCCCTTTCCGCCATTACCACTTTTACACTCAAATATTACATTCCATTACATTACAGTCATTTAGCAGACGCTTTTATCCAAAGCGACTTACAATAAGTGTAAGTAAATACACACAGGCAACTGAATTCTGATTGGCTGAGCAATCAAAATTACTATTCCTGTGTGAAAAAGCGAGTCAACTCAACAAAATATGCTTTTCTTAAGCAAATTACTTTTTTCCCGAGCAGAAAAAATACTTGGCAAGCACACACTCAAGTGAACATGTATTTTTAAGGATGTGTGCATGCACACACACACACACACACACACACACACACACACACACACACACACACACCGACCACTGCTTAAAGCTGACCCAAGCCAATAATTTCCCTTCAATAATGCAAACAAACATCTTTATTGCTTTGTTTGGTGGATGGCGTGATTTATGAGAAAAACTTCAGATCAGCAGTATTTCAGTTGCAGAATACCAGGCGGCAGTTAAAGGGCTGACTGTAGGGGAGAGGAGAAGGAGACACTGCAGCCTGGTACCTTAAAACAGACGTCCTGTACACTGCCCCTTGTGGTCATACGTAGCAGGTTCAATTGTAAAACTCATTAAACAATGATATTTTACCATTGTTTTTTATTCAATAAATAATGGTAAAATATTTTCCCTTTTTCCACTGCCTCCCTGTTTAAACTCGTTCATTTTTCCCAGGTAAGTCGAGAGAAGAAGATCCAATGATTATAGGGACTTATTGTATTATAACTCAGCCAAAGATTAAAGGGAGAAACGGGGGTGGAAGGATGAGGGAAGGCTAAAGTGCTGCGCTTGCATTTTATACACACAAAGACTTTGTAATGCATATGCATCCCTCAATTCTTCCTCACAAATGGGTGCACCTTGAGCGAATACATTCCGAGATATCTTTCCAACTAACTTTTGAGGTAAAACAAAAAAGGAAAAAAATGCCATACAGTTGGATTCCAGCTGACAACAGAACAGCGTGTGCGTAACCACTGGATGCACTCACTTCGCCAGAGTGCTCCCGGTGACGGTCGCTAACAGTAGCCATGTTTCGGCGGATATCACACAGACTGGCTAATGAGCATTAGCATTATAGCTAAGAGACACACAGGTAAAAACACAGAGGAAGGAACCTCCCGAGGATATGTCTAACTTTTTAAATCCCCCTTTTTTCCTCTCCTTTATTTTCCCCCTACGGACCATAAGCCAGTAGATCCCTCCCCTCTCCCACCTCCGCCTTTTTTCTTTTTTTCTTCTTTCAGCATGGTGCAATTAGCGCTCTCATTGAATATTGAAGGTATGAAGAAGAATGGGGCTTTTTAACCGTTTCTCTTCCGCTAAGACCATAGCTCCGCTGAGGGATGGCTGAAGGCTTCAACCAAATCAGGATGCTGAGCTACGGCAACAGTACTTAGAGCCAAACAATCACTGATCATTTATTTAGTCAGCCTTATTTATTCATCCCCGTTTGCTGTTGCTCAGAGCTGTGATTATTTCACTTAGGATTATTCTCATGCGACTGTCTCTCCTTGAAGCAGACAACTGGTCTGAGTTCCTCAAATTAATGAGAAACCTTAATCTTAGTTTTGCCAATTCAGATGATTTTATCACAACTGATTGTTGTAGGTGGAAAATCCAAAACATCAATTGAAGTAACTTTTATTGCAATCCTGACCTTTTTATCTCCTTTGTATTTGCTCAGTATCATGATCGTATTTTCTAAAGTGTGTGCCTTGTGATAAAGAGAGCTTGCAGGATGTGTAATTCAGCTCAGAGAGAAAAGCCCTACTGTACTCTGCCGTGCTGCCTTGAAGTTTGCCTGAGGGCTGAATGGCAGAGGGGCCAGTCCAGATCTGCCAGCAGACTTTCTTAGGACCCAACACAGCAGTCTGCCAGCACAAAACACAAGAATCGTCTATAAAACCTCCATTCCCAATGGCCACATAATCAGACATGATCCTGATTAACACAAGCCTGCTACAGGCATGTATCCACACATGCAAACACTGCATGAACACACACATGAAAACACAAAAAAGCTTTCTCCTAGACTTTGCAAATTCACATGCGCAAACACCACATTAATTCTCACAAATGCTATATAATAACGTCTCTCAGGATCTAATACCCGTACCCGGCTCACATTGCACTCTATAAATACATTTTCAGTCTTAACAGGACTCAGTATTTGGTCTGGTATGCTGCTCAACTCCACCACTTGTTGGTTGTGGGGCAGATCTCCCAGGGCAGGGCTCTGTGGGGTAAGGATAGGATAGGTGAGGGAGGGTGGAGGCAACTAAATCCCTCTTGGATCTGTAAGTGTTTGGACTTGTTCTGCTGGCCATGTGGATTTTCGTGGCAAAGACAGAACACATTTAACATACCATTATTAGTAGCCTACTCAGATTTGGTACCCACTGCATGTACACTTATTTTGATTCTTGTTTTAAACCAATTATTTAATTATCTGAAGGTGTTATTCAAACCAACATGAAAATGAAGCGATAGCAAGGTGCTAAGACCGTGCTCTGATGTTATGCAGCAGTACTGGAACACGCACAAACACACACACACACACAAACACACACTGATAAAGGAAGGAAAGTCTTGCTGTTTCGTGTCTCCTACCACTTCCTTTCATATAACTGTGCACTGTGGTAAGAGTCATAATGCATAACATAAATGCACCACACATAGACAGAGATGCAAATACAGGAATCAAATACAGACGCATTTCCTGGAAGTCACGTCTCACTGCTGTGAAATGGCCACAGGCAGCAGCAAACACGTATCACTCTCATTTCTTGAGATTTGATGTCTCTCTTAGCACTTGCTGCAGACAACTTCATTCGGCCACATTCAAATAACCATAGCGGCAGCAAAGATGTTAATCGCAAAGTGAGGGAAAGAAATTGAAAGGAGACATCTTGCAGCCATAGAAGAAACCTGCTATAGGCAAGGGCCAGACCAGAGTATGAGACAGGCTCCAGCCTTCCCTTACAGCTCCATCAATGTTTAATGCAATGGGGCAGAGAAGTGGCCGAGCCTGGGCTGCCACCCTCATAGAGGAGGTCAGCACTGGAGTCGTCGGGATGGAGGGATGCTACAGCAATGTTAGAGGAGTGTGACAGGAGACAATGGTCTGCCACACAAGGCATCTCCTGGGACCACTTAGTTAAAGATAAGTTAGCATTTGTTCAAGTCTATCGTAATACAATACTCGCAGGCTTATACATTGAAAGTGTTGCACTGTAGTTGTTTCTCCAGTCTGTACTGGTCACAAATAGAAAAAGAGTGAGTCAAATCAGTTATTTTCCAAACGTTTTGTTTTTAGTACAAATTCCCATCTCTGTGACATCACACACTTTGTTTGCTTGCTGAGCCACAGCAAATGGATAGTAACACAAAGTGGTGACCTATAATGCTGTAATGTACAGTAGATATTGGCATCTGGGTATTGTTTGAATCTACCTATTAAGGTTAGGGAATATTGTGGTCTTGGTTAAATATATTGCTGACTTGAACCATGAGAAGGGATGTGCTAATTTGTTTAATACCATAAAAAACACATGTTTTTCCATAACCACAGATTTTTGTTCGAAACATAACAACAGACGTAATACATCATTTTTAGTTTTTGGATTGAAAAAACAGGGCCAGTGAACGTAAACCAAAGCACAGACACTAAATAATGGGTCATATCAAATGATCATTGAAAACTGACTCCAGGAGTGCATATGAAATTGTTTCCCAACAACCGTAACTGCCATGAAATAAAGTACAGAGGTACAGTATTTACCCTTTGGCAGGAGCTTGAGAATGTAGAAGATAATATTTCTATGAGTGAGCGTGAACGTAAGGCTCAGAAAGTTTGCACCCATTTGCGAGAGGACATCCTGCAAAGATAAACACAGAGCATCAGGCTGTGGCTGACCAGACACATAGTCTGTGATCAGAGCGGGAAAAGGCTTGTTTTCTTCAGGGCCACTCCAGCTCAGTGGGATACACTTCATAGTCATCTCCTCTTGCAGTATGAAACACACACACACACACACACACACACACACACACAATCACACACACACACACAGAGGAAGCATCCTTACACACATTTTAGAGCCTAAAGCTGTGATTACCTGGACTACAGTCTACCTTCCCTGTCATTGGGGCCATCAGCTGAAGGAGGGTCGGTGTTTTTTTGGTGGGGGGGTTGGCGACATAAACACAGTAACATATAGTGACCTTCATCTGCTTTGCCCATGAAGGGGGCAGATACAGTACAAAGGACAGAAGAAGACAAGGGGAATATGTTCTAAGATGAAAATTTTTGCTTCAAACTGGCATCAGCAGCAACAACCTAAATCCTCTGTCAACACACAAACATCCTGCAATGTACATATTAGCTCAGGCGTGCGTCCTGAAGGGATATCAGACCTGCGGCATCTGTGGTTGGCAGGCAGGGAGGGATGGAGAAAGGGAAAAGGAGAGAGAACGTGGGAAGAGGGAGGGAAAGTGCTGACTCTGACACCGTCTCTGTGTGCCGCTAACACAGGAACCAATTAGCTAGGAGCCAGCTTCCGTTGCCTGCGCTGTTATAGGACCTCCTCTCTGAGTCCCCAGGGTTGACTGCAGCTTCGGGGATATGATGGCACATATACTGTATACAGTAGACAAGCTATAGGAGAGACACAGATACCCGGCAGACATGCTATGGACAGGGACGTGGTGTGGCCTTCCAGACAGGAAGGGACGAATAGAAGAGCAGACAAATATAACAGGTCAAAGCCATGAAGGGCAATTTGTATTATATCAAATAAAAACAATGCGGGCTGCAGTTAAATTAAATGATGCACTGTAATTAACCCGTGTCCCCCCATCCTTATACCAAATCTTGTAAGGGATCTCAAAAACACCTCACAGCCTAACATACCACACTGTCTGTAACTCATTTCCTTTCACATAACATATTACACATTTCCCACAGACTCGCACTTCTTGACAACTCACTTCACCTTCATATAGAAACTGAAGATAATATCATGCACACTCGCACAAATGTGCACGCAAGACCCAAATGTTCCCTCTACATGCTCACACATTTAAATACAGAAAAACACTTGCATATGTACACTACACACACACACACACACACATACACACGCCTCCCTAACCTACACACACCACCTCACTGTCCTGCTCCAAGAGGGCACAGAGTGACGCAGTCTTTTTATGACAATTATTGATCCTCTGGAGCGCAGTAAAAACTATCCCCAGACAGACAACAAAAATAACTGTAACCATATAACAGCTTCCTGCCAGGGGAACAGATCCCACAGAGAGGCCACGTGACTGGACTATTCCTGGAGTATACTGTAGACCCCTAGCAGGGCCCAGGGCACTGACCAGGCATACACACACACACATATACAGGACAAGGAGAGGAGAGGAGAAGGTTATAGTAAAGTGTACGTTTAGACTTTGTCAGTTATTCTGGCTGAAAAATGAGCATTTCATGTATTTCCGTTCACTGAGAGGCTTTCAATTTGATTGTTTTTGTGCAGCTCCTCTCCCTCACCATATGGTGCTGCTCACTTTTAATTATGATAATATCAAAGTCTTTGTCTTGCTTAGTCCATTTATGTAATAGCATTTTCTCAATGCAGTACTCACAACATACACTCCCCATCATACCCACACACTGCACATTTCCTCCAGCAGAGACGTAACTTATCAAATCTATCCTTTTCAGAAACCTAAATAACTTTGGAGTATTACACTGACAGAACACAAAAGGAGAGGAAGCTGGATACAAGCCTTATTTCAAGTGTAAAAATGGGCTATTGTATTCATGGCTCTGTGGTTGAATTTGTACCGCAGGGACAATGGTAAAGATAAGTCAATAATTCCCCCTCAGAACAATTTTGTTGTCAGTAGGGAGGAATTACTATTATAAAGCTGTCTTTGCTTCTGCCACACTGTCATTAGTAGAGCCAGCTAAAACACAGCTCCTGAACGGATACCTGAGGTGAATGAGGCGGTGACGGAGGTAGACAGTTCGGGAGAGTGGGAGCCCAAGATGTTAGACTGAATACTGTGATTCCCAACCTTTTCTCTTTGATGCATTGCCAGAGCCCTATCAGAAGGACTTGAGTACGCCTTGGCGTAGCACTTCCATAGATGGGATGGCTTCATGTAGTCATTCAAAAACACGTCACAGCAGAGGAAACACAGTTGCTGTGGTGTATCTGTGGCTGCACATCCACACAAGACAGTGATCCTGATGTTTAGGTCTGACTTTTTGTATCTTCTTTTTCTAAGGTGTTAACTCACTCGGCTTGATGGGAAACAAAGGAATTTCCTGTGCACTCAGAACAATGAGTCTAATTAAGACACAGCCATTTGTAATGCTATTTCTGTGTTTATTTTCCTCTAGTCTTGCATAGCCCAATCTATCTACACAGCGCAAAAGAAAGGTCTGGCTCCACACATTACCATTCTGGTATAGGGTAAAAAACACTCTGGCTTGATTGTAATTTCTGTGAACCAATCACAAGCATCTTGGGCACCGCTAACCACAGGATACAGCAAGAGTGCCCTTGCAAAATAGATAGCGCAGATAGCAGATGGGGAGGAGAATGCCGCGTGAAATATGCGGCCAATGACAGGCTTATAACCACCGGGGAGTCAGACTAATTTCCCTCGAAGATAAGAATATGTGGAGATATTTTTTAATGAAATCCTATTTTTTATATATTCTTTTATTTATTTATGTATATTATTAAATTATATATAATTATATTTTTTGTTAGTATGAGCTACATCACAGTCTTTCCACATACACCCCCCCCCCCCCTGTAAAACACACCAGAGATGCCCCCTGGGAACCCCT